GACAAAAAAATATTTTAACTCCTTAAAAAGTAATATACAAGACATGACAGCTACAGTCAAAAAATATATCTGGCCCTATTAAAAATGCGTTGGTATTATGGGCAATTCTGACAGAAGATATGTAAAATCTAGGGCAATAGATAATGCCATAAAGTAAAAAAAAACAAACCATGACAGCTACATTACGAAAAGTATTTTATGACACTTTTTGACATTAACAGAGGGCACTAGTGAGCTATCATAATTTAACTTATGCCCACCTGATCAGATATTTTTGTCGGTCGGTACAGATCTTATAATGACAATGAGTTATTTTAATTTAGTTTCACTGTTAAAGTCAGATTTTCAATAATTTGCATTTTATGTGAATTATTTCTTGTAAGTTGGTAACACTGGGCAACGTTCGGTGGCTTGCTACGTGCTCACGCGGCGCGGAGGAACAAAGAAGCCCATCGTAACGTCGAGTAACTCTCGAACCGCCCCGTTTTGAGGCCGACGTGCTCTCAAGCACTTCCCCTGCTTAGCTCTCCCCCTTACATAGTAAAAGACGTGATTTATAAAAAATACAATGACTTTAAAGAGAGGTTTAATAAAAAGTCAATTAAAAACAATAGTGGGTTTCACCGCCGTGACCTGTGGAAAAAATTCGTGTTATCCATTGTACCTTTTGACATATATTATTATTTCTGATAGAGGAAGATGTAAAATAAGTGGCATTTATTATTCTATACACGTGTTGATGAAATTGACGTGTATGTTTTTATGTTTATATTATATTATTAATTTCGCGCTGACGAAGTCGCAGTCGATCGCTAGATCGCAATAAAATAGAGTTAAATACGTTAAGGTAGTCAAAGTGACAATTATAAGTTAATTTTCACAGATTTTTTTTGATACGTACTTTGTAACTATCGAGATCGTTAATTAAATCTTACTAATATTATAAATGCGAATGTTTAGATGAATGGATAGATATTTGTTTGAAGGTATCTCCAGAACGATTGCATCGATCCGCTGAAAGTTGACATAGATGCAGAACATAGCCAGGAACACACACACAGTTCTTTTTTAATTCCACGCGGACGTAGTCGCGGGCTACAGCTAGTTTAATAATAAAATGCAGTTTACTTTAAAGCGTTCGCTGTCAAAGTTTACCAAGTACAGTTCAGTTGTAATTAATTTACTTCCCGACAAAGTCAGTGCCAGCCAGAAAGAAAACTAGACTAGAAACTAATAAGAAAAAAGTAAATTTACAAGAGAAAAAATGTCACCAACCTATTTTTTGCCTACCGAGGGTTGGCACGATATAAACATACTATCCTACTAATATTATAAATGCAAATGTTTAGATGGATGGATTGATGTTTGTTTGAAGGTATCTCCAGAACGGCTGAATGGATCTCGATGAAATTTAGCATATGTACATATAGAAGATAGTCTGGAATAAAACATCGATTACTAATTATGTTTTTTTTTTAATTCCGCGCGGACGGAGTTGCGTGTGACAGCTAAACTTTCATTCATTTTTATCGGCCGTCATAGTAATTTTAAAGAGTAAATACAAAAAAAATGCAGTCCCCTCTAGGAAGGGACCACACCTTTTTTGTAGAAGAGTGATCGATTTGTGAATTATCTTTATTTGCGACGGGTACCTCCTATAGGCCTCTTCCTCTGCCAAACGTGGAACGAAATCTCAGTATGAAGCAACACTCGCCCTCTGCGTAAAGCTAATGTCCTTCAACTTCAACTCTCCCACGTCCCACTAGAGAGGGAACCTCCCCCCCCTATGTGTGGGTCATCGCCGGTCCACATGGTAACCCGCTTACAACGGCGGTCTGGTTGGCGTTACGGACACCTAACTCGCCCAAATGAGGAGAACTGTTTTACATATAATATGTATTTATTATGGTGTTAAGTTGTGGGAAATTATAACTAGATAAATTCTAGACTATGGGTAATGGTGTCCGGAACACAACAGACACTGTCCGTGAAGACAGGCTGCGACCGACGTGTCGGTCGATGAAGAGCCCCATAGGAAGCCCGAGTACTAAGAAACGGCGGTTGTATTTATGCTGAGTTTTAAAAAACTTCAATAGCGTGATTCAGAACTTTCGTTTATAACTCGCTAATAAAAGGACACTTCTTAAAATTACTTACACAATTATTCTTGATATGGTTTAAAATTAACATAAAATAATAAAAAAAGTATTATTTTCATTGCATTTTATATGTTTTCCATTAAAAATGATTGTTTGGTTTTGCAATTCACCGATTGGTTGGTTTCAACGTGACGCAAGCTGATACGTTACAGTCTCTAAAATACAGTAACACCAATAGCTATTTAAAATCTCATTTGATATTTAGTACAATCAAATTGAAACAATTTTTAATTAATTACTAAGTATAAATTTTAAAGAGTAAAACTTTTTTGATACTTGTATTCAACGTATTATAAACATAAGAATAAAATAATCCTTAATCTATAGTGGTTATACTACTATGTTATACTCTGTAAAACAATGGGCGTTCGGGGAATTCCCGCGCATTTGAGTGTCGACCTCGAGACGCATCGCGCGCATACTACGACTTTTATAAATTGTATTGTAGACAATTATAAAATATTAAAAAAAGAAACTAACAAATAAGGAAATAATATTAATGTAAGCATTTTCAATTAGAAAACGCTTATTCGCATCTGTAATACCGGATTATTGCGCCTGACACAAAACTTATAGCAAACTTGCATAACTAAAAAACAACATATACATTTCCAACAGCGTGTTGTTTTATAATTTTATACTCAGTTTTAACCATATTTACAATATAAATAACGGCCATATCAACTAAAATACGATATAAAGTCATCGCATCGAGTTTCCAATCGTATAAATATTCAAACGGGTCGCCGCAAAGGGCACGCGGCGGTCACGATTCACTGCTATAAGCGACTATAGACAGTGATTCTCAAACTTAAAACCACACAAGATCCTTTACGCAAATAAATATAATCTGTCTGTCTGGCCGATTTTTACGAGACTAAGACTGGAAGATAATTTAGGTGATATATGCGGGGGGATTAGGTTATTTTTTTGTTAAATTCTGCGCTGATGGTGTCTACCGCTAGTCTCTCATAATTTCCAGGAGAAAGTGGACCATTTCCAATCAAATCATCTACTACAACTAATATCTTACTAATATTAATAAATACAACTGTTTGGATGCCTCGATCGATATTTGTTAAAAGATAAAAGCATACATGTAGAACATAGTCTGAAAGAACACATAGCCTTCTTTGCTACTAGTTTTTTAATCCGCGCAAACGGAGTAGCTGGCGATAGCTAGTTTAAAAATAAATTACATCACCCAGTAGTTTGAAATCCACTATAATCACTGAATGTTTAATGCGATTGAAATTTCTCGTACCGCCAAAGGCAAATCTGTTTTACAATATTTGGTAGAACACATTACCTCTTTATTACTACACTGGTTATACCCCGCGGTATTACATGCCACATTTAAAGCTTTCGATTACCTATTCAGGACTTAGATACGGATTGCTAAATATTTAGTCGTGATTTCGAATAGGCAAATGTCGCGATATTACAAGCTTACAATACGTATTTTAGTATTTTTTTTTATATTACAAGGTGGCAAACGAGCGATCGGCCACCTGAAATCGCTGAAATAGCGAAATGACCTTTGCCCATAGACATACGCAATTGCAAATGCGTTGCCTACATGCACAGAAAGAAAACATTTCCATGCATCCTCTCCTCATCCGGAAAGTTTACATCCACTTCCCATCCTTTCCTTATAAGAAAAAGGGTAAGAAGGGAAAGACGACAAACATAGGCCTCCGGGACGCACACTGATCAGACGAAACGGGGAATTGCTTCCACTTCACGCCTATCTTCTGTGTGGTCGTGGTATTTCACCGGGCGAGCCGGGACAATTCGTGCGAAGATGTTAAAGCGGGCTCTACCACTGTTAAATTGCTTATTCTTATTTTTATGTTTTCGAGTACATTCTAAAATGAATGTAATAAAATTCAACTAATAGATGTCGCTATTTCACCAAATAAAACCTCTGTCAATCGGTTTTTTACCTCCAAACAAACATCCATCCATCCAACTAAATATAAGCATTTATAATATTAGTAAGAAGTAAGATTATTTCTATAATAATTTAATAATTTTTTAGGATAAAAAGATAAGATAATACATACAAAGAACGTTCCTTTTAGATCCATTAAAGGTGGATGTAACGTCTGACCTTTTTAACCTTTAAAGATGATAAATGATTGTGTTTATCAATAAAGTTGTCATAAATATATTTTTAGATAAAGGAAAATAATCTTACTAATATTATAAATGCGAATGTATGGATAGATGTTTTTTTGTTAGTAGGTATCTCTAGAACGGCTGCATGAATCTCGCTGAAATTTGTGCAAGATATAGAACATAGACTGGGACACATAGGCTTATTAAGGTTTTGTTAATTCCGCGCAAACGGAGTCGCGTGCTATAACTAGTAGCATATTAACAGTAATCTTACTTATACTTCTTACTAATATTATAAATGCGAATGTTTGGATAGATGTTTTTTTGTTAGTAGGTATCTCTAGAACGGCTGCATGAATCTCGCTGAAATTTGTGCAAGATATAGAACATAGACTGGGACACATAGGCTTATTAAGGTTTTGTTAATTCCGCGCAAACGGAGTCGCGTGCTATAACTAGTAGCATATTAACAGTAATCTTACTTATACTTCTTACTAATATTATAAATGCGAATGTTTAGATGGATGGTTTGTTAGAAGGTATCTCCGGAACGACTCAACGTATTTTGATGACATTTGGTACAGATATAGAGCATCTTCTGGAAGAACACGTATGCCATTTATTTTTAGTTTTTTTCGCGCAAACAGAGTCGCGGGCTACAGCTGATAGCATGTACATTAACATTAATTATATAGTAATTAAGCCTTGATATAGCATCAATGCATTCTCGTTCGTAGAACTGAGGATCGCAGTGCTGAAGTGAGACTATTTGTCATCCCTTTTCATTCTCTTTGATAAAACAGAGACAACAATATAATTCAACATTTATTGAGTATATTATAGGTCATTGTGTGTGCATTTTGATATGATTTTATTTGTTTATTAGCATTTGTTTATATTCGACGTGCGATCGATTAATACGGTGAGTTTCCAAATGTAAATTAATTATATTTTACGATGAAAATCTTGCTGAAAAAAACTTTTTTTTTATATTATAAGGTGGCAAACGAGCGAGCGGCCACCCGAAATCGCTGAAATAGCGAATTGAACGTTTCCCATAGACTTACGCAATTGCTTATGCGTTGCCTACCTTTAATCAACGGAGGAGAGGATGCACAGAAAGAAAAATATTTTCCATTTCCATGCATCCTCTAATCCGGAAAGTCCACTTCCACTTCTCATCCTTTCCGTATAAGAAAAACGATGGGAAGAGAAAGAGGACTAAATTAGGCCTCCGGGACGCACACTCATCAGACGAAACTTGGAATTGCTTCCACTTGACGCCTGTCTTCTGTGTGGTCATGGTATTTCACCGGGCGAGCCGGGACAATTCGGGCGTAGATGTTAAAGCGGGCTCTACCACTGTTCAATATGTGTCTAGTCAACCAATTTGTGCTGTCCCAGCGTGGTTGCCTAAGGCCTAATCATCAAATAAACGCGGTGATAACATAATCTCTGTTTAAAATATATCAATGTCGTTATTATTGACAAAACAGAGGTATCAAATATGTTCTTAACGGGAACTTAGGTCTCAGAAACTCACGTCAAATCACAACGATGTTAGTTTTTATCGCAAACTCTACCTGTTTGCCCCCTACTCTAAAAAAAAACACAAAGCCTAGCATTAATATTTGTGATACGCGTTTCGCAACGTCTTTGAAATACGATTTTTGTATGAGATTTATTACTGTATTTTACGATGATGATGTTACGAAAACGTTGTCACGAGTATTAGTACTAGGCCCTCATCTCATAATGACGAACATCCGATCAAATAGTGGCAGATTGAAATCCCGTAAACCGACTATTGTCATGAATTTAAAGTTATTTTAAAAAGTAACCGATGTTGTTATAGTATTTTGACTTTTAGGCTCAATAGTTGTCGCTGACGACTCCGTCCGCGCATATTTAAATAATTTGCGTAAATTTGCGACATAAGTTGTATCTTTTGATTGGGTTGGCTTAGAAGTTATATTCACAGCACCTAGCGACCGCAGACCTGAACATTTGATATAAGGGTTCCGTTTTTTTCCTATGAGGTACGAAACCCTTAAAAGGGCATAAATAGTATGTGTTCTTCCTGGCTACGTATCTATGCAGCCAATCTGAAGATACACTCAAACAATCATCCATCCATCGTTCCATCGTAATTAGTAAGATATAATTTATTTGCAGTTGCAACACGCAAAGATGGCGCCGTCAGCGTTCGACGAAGATTATAGAAGTCTCACTCAACTGTCACCCGCTCTAACTGAAAACAAGATTAACAGAGCCCTCTCTGATTGGTTTAAAGAATCTGTGGTATTTACACGATGGGAGGTATGCTTTATATTAGCTTTTTCCCGCGATTCCATACGTTTTTGTTCTAATTAAACCCCCAGAGGAGTAAGACAAAACGCATTCGCTGCGAGGAGAATCCATAGTGCACTTCAATAATGTATAGAACTGACACGCGAAACATGATTTATTGAAAGTTATCGTCAGTTCTATACATATTTGAAGTTTGTTATAGAACCGCTTCGGCTCGAATGCATTTTGTCTAGCCCCTCAGATGTTACCCGCGACTCCGCTCGTGCAGAATTGGACACAAAGTCAATTAATAAATCTATGTGTTCTTTCAGATTACATTCTATGCCAAATTTCAGCGAGATCCATACAGCCGTTCTGGAGATACCTTCTCACAAACATCCAACCCATCATTTCATCTAAACATTCGCATTTATAATATTAGTAACATTATTAAAAGTAACAATAGCATAATAGCTAGAAAATTAAACAAGTATTTTTGCCAAAATAATTAAGAGTATAAATATAATATAATATCTTTCCATTTACGTTATTTCAAACACTAAACTTTAAACTAACAAATACGTTAAGGACATAAATTCAAGAAATATCTTATTTGGTTCATTGATTCTTGAACTATTGCATTCGGCAAAGTTTATTTATTCAGAAGATATTATCACAATGTTTTGAAGCTACTTGACTCATACAATATCATGTTTACATATAATAGAGGTCATGATACTAACGCGGTCATTGTCCGCTTAAATGTAACATAATAACAAAAGCAAATAAATTGTTTAAATTATCGTAAGACATTATTAAAAAACTAGCTGTCGCCCGCGACTACACCGCCGCGGAATTCAGAAAAAACTGATAATTTAATTTCCTTTTTTTTCAGTACGTCGGAGGAATAGGCAAAGGTGATTCCTATTTAAGCGATGTCCGAAAGATACGAATTCACGGTGTCAACCGTTATGGAGTAGACAGAAATATACAAGTAATATTAAAGACAATACCACGTAATATCTGTAGACGTCTCACTTTTAGAAGTGATCAGTTCTTTAGAAACGAAATCTCTTTCTATACAAAAGTTCTACCTAATTTATTAAAATTCCAATCAGAAACAAAAGTAAAAGAGCCATTTGATAATAATGTCAAACTATTTCTTACGCATTGCGATGGTTTGAATGACGCTATTTGTTTAGAAGACATCTCTTGCCAAGAATACGAGAATATAATCCGTCAGGAAACAATCGATTTGAAATATTGTAAAGCAACTGTTCAAACATTAGCAAAATTCCACGCAATATCATTCGCAATGAAAGATCAAGAACCAGAAATATTTACGAAAATAACCAATGAAATATCAGAGACGTATTACGATTGTAAATTATGGAATTGGTATAAAAGATTCTGGCATAAAATATGTAACATAGCAATCGATGCGGTTGAAAAAGAATATCCTAATACGATTTATTTAAAAAAAATAAAAAATTTCGCCGTACAAGATACTTATTTTAAAATGATTAATGCTGTTAATAATAAACAAAACGCTGTCATATCCCATGGTGATCCTTGGACGAATAATTTTCTATATAAAAATAAAAATAATATAATTAGTACGAAAATAATAGATTTTCAATTATCCAGATCTGCTAGTCCAGTTCTTGATTTGAGTTATTTTATCTACAATAGTACTAGTCAAGAATTAAGAGTTAAACATTTTGATGATATTTTAAAATATTATTACGAAGTTTTATCTACACAAATCAAAGATATGGGCAGTGATCCAGACAGAATATATTCCGAAGATAAATTTATGAATGATGTAAAGAAATATTCATTCTTCGGTTTAGTTGCCAGTTTTGAAATGACACCACTGATAATGCTGGAACCGGATGAAGCATTTGATTTGGAACTAGAGGTAAAATTTTTGACAATACGAATTCAGTCGTTTCATCATCATATTCAGTCTAAACTTGTCCACTGCTGGACGTAAGCCTCCCCCATCGATTGCCACAATGCCCGGTCCTGTGCCGCCCGCATCCAGTGCACTCCCGCAACCTTGACCGCGTCGACCCGTCCGCGGCCGCCACTCAAGGCCTTTTCGGCCCCATCGGCCGTTCGTTCTGTCATTAGTCATTTAGTCTTTGCCAATTTATACCATACTAGCCTGAGACTCCGTACGCGCGGAATTAAAAAAAAACTTAATTAGTATCCTGTGTGTTCTTCCAGACTTATGTTTTACGTCTATGGCAAATTTCAGGGTAATTGCAGCCGCTCTGGAGATACCGTCAAAGAAATATCCAGCCATCCATCCATCTAAACCAGTCTTTCCCAAAGTGGACGATAACGCCCCCTTGTGGGCGCTGCAGGTCTCAAGTTGCGGGTTATAGTAAAAGTTTCGTTTAGAATGCACCGTTAATATACATATATAGGTCACAATAATTAATTTATTTAATTTGAAGTTATAGTGGTTTTTAAATGTGTGAAAATATGGAGGGCTCTAAAAAAAAATTATTCTCAAAGTGGGCAGTAGACAAAATAAGTTTGGGAACCACTGGACTAAACATTCGCATTTAGAAAAACATCAGACAATTACAATTAAATTTAAATGCTTTTGAGATAATTTATCAAAAATATGATAACTACACTTACTATGGTTTTCTGAGACCAAAATCCTCGTATAAAACATATCTGTGTTGTCAAAAATAAGAACAGTGTTGACGATATGTTTTATACATAGATTTGGATCTCAAAAAACTGACGGTTAATATATTTACAGGGAAATGAAGAGGTAAACATTGATGAATTGTGGAACATTGGTACGATAAAAAATAAGGAGAACAGAAGAAGATCAGCTGACAACGTAGTACATTGTGTTGACAATGGCTTTATATGATAAAATCCAAACATAAAAATGGGATTCCACTGTCAAAATAAAACATATCGCTATCTCTTTTATACTCTACGAAAATACTGAGACAACAATATTGTTACGAATGTACTAGCTGTCGCCCGCGACTCTTTCAGCACGGAATAAAAAAAACATAATTTAGTTGTTTATGTGTTCTTCCAGAATATGTTCTACGTACATGCCAAATTTCAGCGAGATCCAGCTATTCTGGAGGTACCTACAAAACATCCATCCATCCAAACATTCGCATTTATAATATTAGTAAGATAAACAGTGGAAACCAACGGTAACGCAGTTATAAATGACAGTGAAGAACGTGAATAAATAAACTGTTAAAAGAACCAATGAAAATATATTGATTAAGAAAAAAAATTATATATAATCTATAATTTTCTAATAATGACGGCAAAAGTGAGGCGAAAAAAACCTACGTGTTGGGGGCTATTTTGAAAATAGAATTTCGTTTAAACGTCATAGTTGTATTACACTCTATATGTAAAATATATGTGCATGTATGTGTAAAATATATGTGTAAAATATTTATTAGTTACGAGATGAGATTCTTAAAAACAAACACTAATAACTAAATAAGATTGTTAATAATTTTATTCGTTATTTTTTTTTTATAAATAAAAATTATGTCTTGATCCATTTGTTTCTATAAATACTGATCCTAATTTAATACCAGAGAAGACAGGCGTCAAGTGGAAGCAATTCCGCGTTTCGTCTGATGAGTGTGCGTCCCGGAGGCCAAATTTAGTCCTCTTTCCCTTCCCACCCTTTTTCTTATAAGGAAAGGATGGGAAGTGGAAGTGGATTTTCCGGATGAGATGCATGGAAAGGGAAAATATTTTCTTTCTGTGCATCCTTTCCTCCGTCGATTAGAGGTAGGCAACGCATATGCAATTGCGTATGTCTATGGGCAAAGGTCAAGCTCGTTTGCCACCTTATGATATAAAAAAATACCATTAAATAACTAACGAGACGAATTTTCATTCTTTCGAAGCTGACTTTGTACAACAAAATGCCATTACATCAGTTTATTTACAAACAAAAAAGTTTTGCTTTTAAGATGCGTAGATTCATCTCTCATTGTGACATTGGAATTACGGAACGCAAAACCTTAGCCGTAATTATTTAAAAAAAAAGCCAAAAGTACATGTTATTAAATAGTACATATAAAGTTAACTAGTATAAGGAAATGTTAATAATAATATTAACCGCTTTATACCATCTTGTTCCAATATCAGGTAAATATATCACTTTTATAACCTAAAAATCGTTTTATGCAAGCAAACAAACAAGTATAGTATTATTCAGATATCGTAGCGGCTCTTAACTTCGCGCGAGTCATACACAAAACAACAATTTTAGCGCGCACAGATGACCTTGAGCCGCCAAGATATTTGAAAAGAACTCTGTTAAGTGACAGCTACCTACAAAAACTACAAAACCTACAAAAGCTACTACAAAAACATGTTGAAGCCTATCCCTATTGGACAGAGGAGATAGACAGAAAAAAGAATATCCCTTTACTAATTATCCTTCTCTGTCGAGTTCACTTTCGCTTTCAAAACGTTTTCTTAATAATTGATCTATTAAATAAATTGAATTGTCAGATTTCCGTTTCCTTACAAATATTCCTTTAACAAGAATGTTAGGGTTGTTGGTTAGAAATAGCGGGAAAGACTAGAATTGTGCTCTAAACTTCTTGATAATACTAAATATTTTGCTTCCAGAAAGTCAAGTGCCAACATTAAGCGGATTGGGAGCTGAATGTAAGTACCTACACTATAATACCTTACTAATAGTATAAATGCGAATGTTTAGATGGATGGATGTTTGTAAGAAGATATCTCTAGAACAGCTCAACGGATCATAATGAAATTTGGCATAGATATAGAACATAGTATGGAAGAACACATAGGCTACTATTATTTTTTTAATTCTACGTGAACAGAATCTAGAACGACAGCTGATAGATAAATATAAAATGGGTAATTGATATTTATGTTGGTGTGCGTCGGTGGCTCAGTGGTCAAGCACTTGACTCGCAATCTGCAGGTCCTGCGTTCGATTCCCGCCATGTACCAATGTGTTTTTCGATTTCCGATTTACAAATGTACATTTATCCGACGTTCTTACGGTGAAGGAAAACATCGTGATGCAACCTGCACATATCTGAGAAGAAATTCAAAGATATGTGTGAAGTCAACCAACCCGCACTCGGCCATCGTGGTTGACTATGGCCTAATCACCCTTAACTTAGGGCAGGCTCCGACCCCATCGGTGGGGACGTATAGTGAGAGCTGATGATGATGATGAATTTATGTTTGTAACTATTAAACTCAAAAACTACCGGACTGATTTCAAAAATTTGTTATATTACTAAAATGCGACATTTTTCCTGAATAACATAGACTAGTTATTTGGACAAAAATTCCAAAAAGTTATACCTATAGTCTTCATGACGTCTTCCAATTATTTCATATAATATTGATTTAACTCACATGAGTCTTGTTGTAAATTTTAATTAAGTTTTGTTATAAACAATTAATGTTTAATATAGATAATAAAACTGGTCTGGTGGAGGAAACCTGTGGGATAGACAACTCTGGCCTGGAGGAAGTTCAAGAAGGATCATCATTTATTGAAACATACCCATGGTTTGGAGTCATTGTGTTTCCGTTGGGTAAGTTAAACCATACTTATTCAAACTTTCGTAAGATATTATAATAAACTGATATAAATACAGCTAAACACTCACGTATATTCGTCCGGTGTCGGCACCGACTAGTTTCGAACCCATCGGGCAATTAGTGAGCGACGGGCCGCGTCCGCGAAATAATAGCAGTCCCACTCACCGTAAAGAAGGGCTCGAAACTAGTCGGTGCCGCCACGGGACGAATATACGCGAGTGTTCAGCTGTTTTTATATAAGTTCATTGCATACTTCTTTAAAAATCGAAAACGAACTCAATAATAGATCTGTTAACAGAAATAGCTATCAAATAACCTAAATCATTTAGACAGTAGCCTTCATTCATTCCTTCACATGAGACGCCAATGTTGTAAAAATCGTAAGAAGAAATTAATGATTTCGTCAAATCTTTTTATCTAAATAAACATTTAAACAATACTTCGAAATATTAAGATCCTTACAATGTACTAAATAGATAACTCGATAAGGACCTGTTAGTTTTTTTCATTGCCTGGGTAATAAGCATCAACATTGGAATAAATTAAGAATCTTACCCTAACCCTAACTAGCTAGATCTCGGAGGAAGGGGGCTAGATCTAACCTAGATCATTGCTTGGGGAACTACTAACTATTATTCTTTTCCTTGCAGAGGGCTTAATAACATCATCTCCGGTTGTGTTGATAACCAAACAATTGGTAATCGGCGCGGCAATCGAGATAGCAAATCTACCAAAAGTTGATTTCAGGTTAGAAAAATGTCTTTTTGTCTGTCTAGATGTCCAAAAAAGTAAGGGATGATACCTTACTTTTTTCGACAAAACAAAAACACAATAAAAATTAGTTCTGGATGTCTAATTTGTAATCAACGAAAACATAATTGGAAATCCACAAGCCGGATTCAAAATATAATTGTGATTTTTTTTACAGGGCTAGAACTAAAGTGATACTCGGTACTAACTGTAAAGGGCGCAGGCACAGCGTAGTAGAATATTCCTATCATCCGGACTTCCAGAAAAATACGTACAGTTCACTCGTTTTGATTCAAATAGAGCCGAATTTCGAAGTAGGTAAATATCACTCTGACTAAAGCACTTAACATAAAAAATACTAGATGGCGTTGTCAGTTGTTTTCATTTGACAGTTTTGAGGTTGCCAGTCTAAATTAATGTTTTGGTCCGACTAAAATGTGGGTAACTTCTTCAGGTGTATACATGTTTGTATGTCCGTTGCAATTAATATCGAGATTTTTACTATATCTTTTATTTATTTTTTTGTTTTGAAATAATATATTATACATTTTCATAGAAAATAGCTGATTTTTTAATAATATTTTTCAGAGCTTCGGCCTATTTGCCCACCTCCGAGTATGATCAATAAGCCAGATTTTTATGCATTTTCTCTTGCAGAAGGTAATTTTATTTGTTTTATGTCCAATACATTTAAATTACAACGTGGAAAACTTCGTGAGATTTTAGCACTTAACTAGAAGGAACTATGTTTATTCATTATAAAAAAAAATTGTTTAATGTCTCAGTGATTATTAATTTATTGTTTAACCCATAACTTTTTTTATATATCAGAAGGTGGCAAACCAGCGAGCAGCCACCTGAAATCGCTGTAATAGCGAAGTGACCGTTGTCCATAGACATACGTAATTGCATATGCGTTGTTTACCTTTAATCGACGGAGGAGAGGATGCACAGAAAGAAAATATTTTCCCTTTCCATGCATCCTCTCATCCGGAGAGTCCGCTACCACTTCCCATCCTTTCCTTATAAAAAAAGGGTGGGAAGGGAAAGAGGACTAAATTAGGCCTACGGGACGCACACTCATCAAACGAAACGCGGAATTTCTTCCACTTCAAGCCTGTCTTCTGTGTGGTCGTGGTATTTCACCAGGCGAGCCGGGACAATTCGTGTGAAGATGTTAAAGCGGGCTCTACCACTGTTGAGACTTTGAGAGAACTTTAATTAAAAGCGTATTTAATTTTCAGATTGCATGTTGTCAGCAGTAGAAATATACAAAATGTCGTATGTCGATACAAAAGAATGCAAATCGTATTATCGCAGAACTGGAGTAAGTTTTTTTTAAAAGAAGCAAAGGCTCGATCTGTTCAGCCTATGTTCGACCATAGTTCTTTTTTTAATTCCGATTTTGTGCTTTTAAATGTTTAATCATAGTCAAGTCAGCCAATTCTGCCAATTTATTTCATAACATCTGACTTATATTGCTTATTATTTCATATTAACTATAAATTTATTCCACTTTAATATTTTGAAATATATTTATGTGTTTTGGTGATGAAAGTGGTGAAAATGGAATAAACACCCGATATGATTTTTGTTCCAGTTAAACGTCAAAAGTATTTGGCCGAAATACACAGTGTGTGCCAAAGCGCAGCGCGGTGGAGAGTGTCTTTGGCAGAGCGGAGTGTTCCTTGTCACGAAACATAAAAAAAGGTGGAAGTTGGTAAGAGTATAAAAATTAGTGTTGCCAATAATACGGCGTGTTCTAAGGCCTATGGCCGCAAATTCCACGGCTTTTCGAAAATTTTCTCGATGACGATGACGGCTATGGTCAGAAATATTCGTTCTAGGCGCACTGATGTAATCAAGATGGCAACTCCTATTCTACAGTCAATTAAACTGATTTTTGATATTAAGGTGTCTTCATGTTCTTCCCTGTGGCGCATTTATTATTTATATTATTTAACAGTTTTTTTTTCAGATAGGATTCGGTGTTTACGGCCCAGGGTGTTCGTCTCCAGCGAGGTTCTTAGACTATGGCATGTACCACCAATGGATACGCACCAACATTCAGAGGATTGGTCGACCAGCTATAACCAGGCTGGCTGGCAACCATATTGTTATGAGACGACGTTAGTTACTTTAACCATCTCATAATACCAGTTCTTATCCAAACCTTTAACCTTATGATTAACAAGCTATAACCTCATCATCAGCTTACTATACATCCCCACTGAGGGGCTCGGAGCCTACCCTAAGTTACGGGTGACTAGACCATAGTCAACCACGCTGGCCAAGTGCGGGTTGACTTTACACATATCATTGAATTTCTTCTCAGATATGTGCAGCGTCACGATATTTTCCTTCACCGTAAGCACGTCGGATAAATGTAAATCGAAAAACACATTGGTACATGGAGGGATTCGAAACCAGGACCTGCAGATTTTAAGTCAAGTGCTTGAACCTGAGTCACTGAAGCTCTAAGTATAAGTGAAAAATTCTAAAATATTTCTGATGATTTAAATAAAATATCACGTGTATTTTGGGACGACGTAAATTTTTTGAATAAATTAAAAATATATTTGAAATCAATACAAGCTGTTGCCTGCGACACAACTTATTGAATAGCAGATGACTTCAATCGACATCCGCTGAGACATATCGGAGATACCTTCTAACAAACATCCATCCATCTAAACATTCGCATTTATGATATAAGTAAGACTATTTTGTACAAAAAAATACACTACAATACAAGGAGGAGTAGTCAAAACCTCACTACATACAATCAGAAGTAGGGTGAGTGTCTAAAAGTGATTAATCGACGAACGTAGTAGGGCATTGGATCGAAGTAAAGTATCTCAAGTTGGCACGTCGAATACTAAAGTACGCTACTTACCAACGTGCCAAATCAAATGTAGTACGTGATGCGTTATGAACACATCGTTTCTTTCAGGTTTAACATCGGTACAAAGATTTGGACCGTGTGATCCAGAAGAAACGAAAGTCGAAATCTACACCGATCACAGCTCCATACAACCTGTAAGCGCAAAACCTCGAAACGCCTACTATAATGTAAGTTTAACATTTTAAACTATGTTACCTAACGATGAAGAATGTCGCTCATTTGTATTTTACCCAAGCAAAAATATAAACAATCGGAAATTTTCTTACAAAAGAATTTCATTCACAAATATACGCGATGTGTTATGACAAATTGAAAAGGTAACTTCATTGGATGTACAGAAAAAGATAGTCAATAAGTTTAACTTTATTATGCAACAAAATTCAACACGTCAAATCGTGAATACGTTTTATATGCAATTTAACTTTAGAATTTGCCGCGCATAACAGCTAAGCCAGTGACGTAACCTCATTACTTTTTTTTATATTATAAGGTGGCAAACGAGCCAGTGGCCAAGTGATCGCTGCCCATAGACATCCGGAATTGCAGATGCTTTGCCCACCTTTGTATTTGACGGAAGTAGTGACGCACAGAACGAGATTATTTTCCCTATCTATGCGTCACCTCCTCCGTCCAATCCCGATCCCCTTGCCATCCTTTTCTCATGTGAAAAAGGTGGGAAGGGAAAGGTGACATACATTTATATTAAATTATATTTCTCAACAGTTCACAATCCTGGCTGGTTACGAATACTCATGTATCGTGTTCCGAGCAAATCAAGAAATTGGTGAAGAACCAACGATCCATTTAAAAAGGATGTGCATTGCTAAACACATAGCTTGTTATCAATTTACAACATTGCAAATTGACTTCGAAGTCACCATTGGTTACTTCGATAAAGTAGAATACCATATTAATGTCTATGGTATTGAGTTGAAGCTATTAGATGCTAAAAGAATGAATGTGCTTGCGAACAGAAGACATTATCATCCACCGATTGATAAGACTTATACACCTTACATTTACTCTGGATGGGGTATTGGATAAAGCAAGAAAGATAATAAAGAGAGAAAGATATAACAGTAAGACAGTCTTTTGTTTCTTTCTGACTATCCAATTAAATATTTCGTTCTAATTTTAAATCTTTGATACGTTCCATTGACCGATGTTCCAAATTCAAATTATTTTTTTTAATTATCACAGGTACTTAATTTCGATTATTTTTTTTTCTTTTAATCTTGGATAAACTTTTTCCTTTGAATAAATAAGTAGAAATCGACTTCATTTTTTGTATGTTTACGAAGTTAAAAAAACAATTCCTAAAGACAATCTCGCTGCAACATTGTATATTAAGTTATGGACTATTTTCACTATATTTTCTATATTTGTCACTCAAAGCTATGAATTCTTAGAACTTATACTTGATTGAAAGGGATACTTGCATTTCTTACAAAAATATGAAAGAATTTTATATAGTACGAGTATGTCTTATATTGCGTCATCTCACACCGTTCCGTACCTCCGGACTACCACAGACGTATGTTTCCGTTACAACTTCTAAGCCGATTTTAAAATTGTACACCATGTATCACACCGTACCGAATCCATTTTTTTATACCAGAATCTTATTTATATGTAATAAAATACTTTAGAAATCGATGTTTTTGTTTATATTTTGAAACCTGCTATTATTAATCAAAGTAATAGATAAATGGACAGACTTAACTCAAGCATTTAAAATAATTCATGATAAAGTAGAAAAGACAGTTTACTAATGAATGCGATATTTTAAAAAATCTGTTCGCAGTTAAAGTATCACTGATTACACTACGGTGTGTAATAAATCCATATTTAAGACGCCGTATGGAAAAATATACTTGTTTCCATTCCAGTGAATGCAACGAATTGAATTTCTTCGAATACTCGTACTTTATATTTCGAACGTGTGACGTCATACAGACACACACACACCGCATCGAGCACAATAAAACTGTAATATCCTGTTCGGAGTGCACAGAATTTGTGCAGGAAAGATTTGCCGACGAGTTTCGTGCAGTACGTGCCCGTAGGAATCTTTAGTTGGGAAATATTTAATGGAATAGGCCGGAAATTGAGTTTCGCGTTACTTTGAGAGTTTAAACTGGATTTAAAACTTCACTTATAGTTAAGATAAGTTTTAAATTAGGAAAAAAATGTCATAAACTTACCACAAATAAACTATAAACTAAATAAAAATATAGCCTTCTTTATCAAGAAAGAGAGGGAATGTATTAGAATAAGACATACCCTTTTTCTTTGTGTCTCCTCCTCTATTGAAGCTAAGCAACGCATCAGTTTTCAAGGATGTATGGGCAACGGTCGCTGCGCTATTTCACCGAACTCAGATGGCCGCTTGCTCGTTTGCCATCTTAGGATTATAAAATATACCTTTACTTTTAAGTACTGTTTTCTTAAAATGAAAACTTGACAATGGGTTTTCACTGTAGACCTAAACGAAAACATAGTAATATTTCTGTTTTTTTTAATGGCAATATTATGTTATCAATTATTGTACAAGAGTGTTGCCATTATTTAGAAATTTGGTAAAAATGACAAATGTGCATTTTATATAGAATGTAAAAATATTTGGTTTTAAATTGGAATGAAATATAGTATTGGTTATTTTTAATAACTCCATGTGTTAATCGGACAATCTTACTCTTACTATAATATTATAAATGCGAATGTTTAGATGGATGGATGTTTGTTTAAAAGTATTACCAAAACAGCCTTATGGATTTCACTGAATATGCCATAAATGTGGAATAGTCTGGAAGAACACATAGTCTACTTATTAAGTTTGTTTTTAAATTGCGAACGGAGTCGCGGGCAACAGCTTTTCATACATAAATCCATATCCAATTCACCGATATTTAACAAAAAATATTCGTATTAAGAACTTCGGACGGACGTTAGTGAATACAAGAGTTATGGTCCGGATTCATGAATGCAATCGGAACCACTTGGAATAAACGGATCCGTAAACAGCGCTGCGAGTTCACGGCTGTTCGTATCTGTCGAGGGCCTGCCTCTGCCACTTATTGACGACCAGACATGAGTACAAGGCATAAGCGAATTTGAACTATACACATAGCTCTAGTGATGGATGTGTTTTTAACTAGATGGCGCTACTCTCTCTTTTAATATTATTGACGGTTATTTATAGCCAGAATTATTTTACGATGTTTTCGAGGTTTAGGCTAAGTGCCATCTGCGCTCGGCCACCTCAAGCCCGGTGAAGCTGTAAATGCCTTCTCAAGGCAAACAGTGGCAATCAGTCACAAAAAAAAAAAATTACGATGTTTCGTTGTTAGACCATGGGCGTCGCCAGGTATGGCGCTAGGGTTACATTAAATTTTTTACAACTAGCCCCCCCACACTCACTTGATCATCGCCGTTATCGCCTGGTTTTTCCCTTGGTGTAGTTTAGGTTTTTAAAAATATGCAATGCCAGTTATAACGATGCAACATGTTTGCCTGTTACAATTTTTTACAACTCACAAATTGTCGCTTCAAAACGCTGTGTGAAAACACCTTAATCATTGTCATTATAACAAGAAGATAACGTGTCCTTAAAGTTCCACACAGAAGACAGGCGTCAAGTGGAAGCAATTCCGCGTTTCGTCTGATGAGTGTGCGTCCCGGAGGCCTCATTTAGTCCTCTTTCCCTTCCCACCCTTTTTCTTAGAAGGAAAAGATGGGAAGTGGAAGTGGACTTTCCGGATGAGAGGATGCATAGGAAGGGAAAATATTTGCTTTCTGTGTATCCTCTCCTCCGTCGATTAAAGGTAGGCAACGCATATGCGATTGCGTATGTCTATGGGCAACGGTCACTTCGCTATTTCAGCGATTTCGGGTGGCCGATTGCTCGTTTGCCACCTTTTGATATAAAAAAAAAGATATATAAGTTTTAAATCTACGATATTTAACAAAACATTATAAATGAATAATTAACTAAAATATGTTATTAAAAGGAGTCCTTTTAGGCAAGGTTCCGAAGATACTGGCAGCGTTCCCCATTTGTGTAGCTATACTAATTCTTTGTCCGAGCTGCCAGCTCTTCTGTCCCCTGTGATATCGAGTAACTTTTTTAATATTTCCTTGAAAGTTTAAATTAATAATTTTAGTATAACATCTTGTAACTTGTACCACACAGGACTGCGTCGGTCTCGCATCATTTATTAGTTGAGTTCCGTTATATCGTCGACTATCATGCACTCGACGAACGACGAGCGCACAGGAAATATGATAAATATGAACAATACTGTACTGTACTGTCACATACGAATTTACGTTGAAATGTTATAAGTTGCTTAACTGACATATAAAAAGTCAAATGACTATCTAGTGATATAATCTAATCAAATTTACTAATTGTACATCTTCCTTTCAATACTATAGTATTTTTAGTAAATACTAAATGTGTCTAAAAGTGTATATACATAAAAAATAATTTAATTTCAGAAGTTTCGAATATCTATATGCAATTTTTTTATATTTTCAATATGAGCGAAAAATATTCAGTACCAACCGACTCAATTGTTTTTCTGTTCCACGAGTGCGTCGTAGCCAGAGTCTATCGGATAAGCAGATGACGCTCAACGATGTCGGGACGAAGTCACGTCTTAGATGAGAGATACTACGAGGACATTCAACGATTTATTTACTTTGTCTCGTAGGAAAAGCTTTTTAAAAGACAAAACCTCGACGCGACAATTTGATTACAAGAGACGTGTGGTTAGAGAAAAGTAAATAGTTTTTTTTTTTTAAATAAATCTTACAAATACCATAACCAATGTTAAAACCAAAATTTCAAATAAAGAACTAGATCGATTCAGTCTTTACTAATATAATAAATATTATAAAACGGAAAAGTTTGTAGTTTTGTATGCAACGAATTAACTCAAAAACTACCTGACCGATTTTAAAAATTCTTTTGACGCTAGTAAGCCACATTATCACCGAGTAAAATAGGCTACTTTTATTCCAAGATTTATTTTTAAATTCTGCGCAGACTAAGTCACTAGCAAAAGCTAGTATGTTAAAAAGAAGCTATAAATTTAATATTATATTAACAAATGTATTCCTTCTCTTTCCTTCACTTAAAGTAATATCTCCCTTCTCTTCCATGTAACGAAATATTACTAAATGGGGCTCGTTCTTGAAAATACAATGCATTCTAGTTTAATCGTTTTGTTTTAATTTATTTATTGTCCTTTAACAATAAATAAACAAGCAATTAACGCAGGTTAAGTCAACTAGATCCGACAGAAATTATATTCAACGACCGGATAAAGTTTGACCGAAGCCAGCCCGCATCCGCGCTTTGCATAAACTGCCCGCGGAATATTGATGATTTTATGGTGCGGTATTATTATGGGTAAACAAGGGTATATCGTTGCGATATTGAAACGATAACGTAAACATGTATTTACATTTGCAATTTTTAGAAATGGCTTGAAAATCACGATATCACAAAAAGTAAGCATGAAGTAATATGCTTTGGTTCGTCTTCCTGCTTTCCCGTTCTTTCACTATAAAGAATGGATTGGAAAAGAAAGAAAATTTGACGGAGGGTGGATGTATGATACCTTTTTTCTTAAAAAAGTTTAGACCAATTGTTACTAGTATCCTTTTTGGAGAGCTGTAGAGGTAAAGTAAATCGGAGTTATTTTTTTAAATAACTATAAAAAGAGTAGTAAGAAAATTAGGAACATCCAATCTTCTAATGTCTGCGTCTTTGTTTCATATTGTTCAGAATAAGCCGACGGCCGTTAGCGCAGATTTCGTTGTTCTCTATTGAATTTTAACTAAAGTGGCCGCTACACGGAACTGAGCAATTTGGATTCGAGCCAATGATCTAAAATGGTATTAGAGCCGTATCGTTACTATGATTTGTGTACAACATTCAGATAAATCATCCTTTTTCCGAACGAATGTATTTTATGGCCTCATAAGTACACCGAAATTTATTATGTTGGTATATGAACTAATTATTTTTAATTGCAATTGAGTGCATAATAGAGAAATCTTTTATGCCAACAACTTTATACATTTAAAAACTTTAAGAATTAAAAACAAAGGACTCATTTTTTCAACTCGTTTAGACATAAACAAGGTAGAGTTTAGAAAAGAGAATTATTATTACATATGTAAAATTTAATAATATATTGATACAAGGGAGACTTCAGTAACACGTGTTAGTGACAATAGTCACTCGAGTAATAACTCGAGTTGGAAACACAACCCACCCCAATCCCCGTATTGGGGAACTAGTGAAAATAGTTGTTAAAATCACTAAAGAAAGCTCGTTCGATAATGTTTTAGTTATTCATAGACGAGATAATTAATTCACAAGCAATAGCATGTATTTTATCCAAAAGTAGCTGTCGTCAGCGACTCCGTCCGCGGGGAATTAAAAAAAACTTAATAAGAAGTCTATAAGTTTACCAAACTATGTTCTACATCTATGATAAATTTCAGCGAGATCCGTTGAGTCGTTCAAAGATATCTTCGCACAGACATCCATCGTTCTATATATCCACGTAAACATTCGGATTTATAATATGACCATATAGGGTATATGGTTTTTATAAAATAATGTTATCTATTATATATAATAATTCATATTATCTACTCTGTGGTAAATGTGACGAGAAGAAGAAGAATTTATTGCGACGCGTATTTACGACTACAGGTCAATAAATCCGATAAATACAAACAGCAAAGTCAAGAACATAATACAGATTGATTTCATTTGAAAACAACCATATCAAAATTAAATAACTCTTCAACAAACCGCATGTATTAACCAAGAATGTTTGTTGAATTGCAAAATCATTAACGTTGCCAATTAATACTAAATCCTATTACCTAGATGAATTCAGTAAGCACCGCCCACGATTGATTTAATCCCCCGCGCTAATACCTTCACAATAATCCTCTTACAATCACAATGATACGAAACTTCGAAGTATTAATTTTAACATCCTCAATTACTATAATCTATTCAATATAGTGGTGTAAGGAATAATGTTACATCAAATAATTTTACGATAGCGAACGACAACTAATACAAACTTCAAGATGTAAACGTACCTTTTTTGCGAAGGCATCGAAGCGCTGAATCCTCTTGTACACCGCCATACATCTCTATCAGCCGACATATTTGAATCTACCCCCTTCTTACATATAATCTCTTTCACAAAATCCATCCACACTTTTTTTGGTCTTCCTCTACCTTTTTAGTCATCTTATATATGGGTAAATATACGTATGAATTTCTAAAATCGAAAAACACATAAGGTACATGGCGGGGATCGAACCTAGACAATACATTTTGGTCCGGTCCGGTTAATCGTTTAGTGTACTAATATTCTCTTAAGAATATTAAATCAAGATTTAAATCAACACAGAGTGCGATCGCATTATTTATATTGCTTCCTATTTTCGACATAGATCTACTTTCTAACAATTTTCAAACGTTCATCCGCCACATGTGACGTACCACGTCAATGACAAATTAAAATTGACATTTGACATATCAACACAAAAACAAGGTTCCAGGAAATTTAAAAGGTACTTAATTATAATTTTGTAAGTTAATATTTTTCATTACATTACGTCATCTTTATATGTACGTAATCAGTAAATAATTATGTATTGTAGAGAGTTTACTAATAGTTAAATCAATGTTAAGTTTGCCAAAATTTCGTTCTATCTACGTAAAAAATAAACTTATTGTTGGTTTTGTCTTGTAGATTATTTCAGCCTAAAAATAGTAATCTTTAACTTGAGATAAAAGTATATTTGGCAAAGACAATCAAAATTTATCAATGCACTAAAAGTAATGCAACTGATAACAGAATAAATATTTGCTTGAGTTTTTATTAACTGTAAATTTCTTCCGAAACATCTGTTCATAAACATAATAATATCTATGTTTTGTACAAAATTACTATCTTTATTTTGTTTTCAAAGTCTCGAATGTATTATGCTGATATAGTTTATTTAAATCGTTTTATTATATATGTTTTGTACTGAGATAATGAATTAGGCAATACCAAAATGTAGGTCTGTGAACTCTGACTACCCCTTTGGGTTACTGGTGTGTTATGTTGAGCTAGCTGTCGCCTGCGCTTTTATCCGGGCAGAATTAAAAGAACTTAGTAGCCTATGTGTTCCTATAGTCTATACATCTGTGCCAAATTTCAATGAGATTTGTTAAGGCATTATGGATTCTAACAAACATCCATCCATCCATCCATGTATACTTTCGCATTTATAATATTAATAAGATTAAGATAAAGACATCATACTTCTTGTTACATTTCAGAAATATTAAAATGACATTTGAAGATTTTAAAACATTGAGAAATATATCTCCAGCACTTACTAATGAAAAATTAACGAAAGCTCTCTCTGACTGGTTCAAGGAAGAAGTAAAATTTACACATTGGGAGGTACAAAACACATAGAATTATATTTCACAATAAATAGTAACAGCAAAGGGTCTTTTACCCATTTTTAATAAATATATTAGTAAACTTTCACAACAGTTTACTAATATAATTTAAAAATAATTTTAATTAGTAGCCTAGAAGAACACATCTTCCAGACTATGTTCTACATCTAAGACAAATTTCATAAAGATCCATGCAATAATTCTGGAAATACCTTTTAAGTTTTAACTAACATCCATCCATCCATTCAAACATTCACATTTATAATGAATACGAACATTTATAATATTAGTAAGATTATTCATATTAATTTCAGTATGTCAGCGATACAGGCAAAGGTGATTCATATTTAAGCGAGGTTATAAGGATAAGAATACATGGTGAAACACAAGAGGGCAGCAAAAAACATGTACAAGTAGTCCTAAAAACGATCCCTAAAAATGTTTGTAGACGGTTAACATTTAAAAGTCATGAATTCTTCAAAAACGAAATTATATTCTACAAGAAAGTATTACCAGCTTTACTCAGATTTCAATCGAAGAAAAACATGAAAGAACCATTTGATAAATGCGCAAAGCTTTTCCTCACACATTGTGATGGTGTTAATGATGTTATTTGCTTAGAGGATGCATCATTAGAAAACTATGGAAGTGCTATTCGACAAGAAGGTATTGATTTTGATCATTGCATGGTAACTGTAAAGAGTCTAGCACAATACCACGCAATATCTATAGCTATGAGAGACCAAGAACCTGATGAATTTAATAGAATAAGTAATGAAATATTTGAAACATACTATGATGAACGATTATGGGATTGGTATAGTCGTTTTTGGAATCGAATTAGTAATATAGCGATTGATGCGGTAGAAAAAGAATATCCTAATACTATTTATGTTGATAAAGTTAAACAATTTGCGGTACCTGACCGTTATAAAGACATGATTAGAGCTGTATCGGACAAAACCAATGGTGTTATATCCCACGGTGATTCTTGGACAAATAATTTCTTATTTAAATATGAAAATAATCGTCCAATCGATGCTAAGATAATCGATTTTCAATTAACTCGATGTGCGAGCCCTGTTTTGGATTTGGTTTTCTTTATTTATGCTTGTACGAATCAGGAATTAAGAGAAAAACATTACATTGATTTATTGAATTATTATTATAAAATACTGGCAACACAGATAAAAGATATGGGCAGTGATCCAGACAAAGTTTACTCTTATGACATTTTCATGACAGAGATAAAGAAATATTCATACTTTGGACTTGCATTCAGTTTTGAATCGACGCCATTTATAATATTAGCACCTGAAGATGCTGTCAATATGGAAATGAAGGTAGTTTAATAATTTATTTATCTTTCTTGTTACTGTAAAATTGTGAAAAATGATTTTTAATAATCTGTCTGAAATATTTACAGGGTGAAGAAAAACTCAACATAGATGACTTTTGGCAAATAGGACCGTTTAAAACTAAAGAAGGTAGACTGAGAGAGGCTAACAATGTTGTACACTGTGTAGATAATGGTTATATATAACAATAGGCTTTAAGAGATAAAATAAGTAAAATAATTGTCGAAAGGGCGGCAAAATTTGACACTTGGCAATACTGTCAAAAGTAATGTGACAATATATTTGTTTATGGTTTATTGAGATTGTCTATGTTGTACATTTTGTTTCGTATTTATTTTATTTTATTTAGAAATAAGTCACAAATAATGCTATCAACAAAACTAACAACATGATGTGATCAACAGTTCCATATTAGAAAATTTTAATATGATGTCATATCATATTTCATCATTATTAATTAAATCTTCCAACAAATTCAGTTTTTATGAAGTTATTTAAAGTTGGCCAATTTGGTTACCTATTTAACATTCCTTATCGTTAACCCCACCGAAATACGTCTTTTTTAAACTTTTTATAATTTTTTGTCCAAAAAAACGACACAAAATTATTTACATAATATTATGGCTTTGTTGCTCTTTACCATATGCTATATAATTTTATACATATTTTTATTAGTATTAAGTATTTTTTTTTAAAAAGAGAATAAAGTTTTAAGGACAAGCACTTGACTTGCAATATGCAGGTCCTGGGTTCCTTATATTTTCCTTATATACTATTTAGTATCATTATTTACTTAGTATTGTGATTTTATGTAATAAATGTTTTACCATATTAAATAGTTTTTTTTATTAACACCACAATTTTGTCTACCATCTCAACATATCCCAATAGCGTAAATGCTGAAAGATTTATATAATAGTTGCACAGAGTATAATAAAATTCAATTTCAGTCAACAAGTTTTTGTCTTTAATTGAGAGAAAAAAATTACACAAATCCGTCTGCATGGAATTGGATAAAACTATTAAAAGCCTTTATGCTATTCCAGGGTATAGGTTACCTATATCTGTTCCACATTTGATCCTTTATTGAGCCGTTGTAGAGATGATAATCCATCTATCCATACATTTGCACTTATAATATTACTAAAATAAATGTCACTTTTAGCACAAATCACTGTCACTAATTATTTCTCATTCCAGTAACTTTTCTATAAGCACTAAAATGTTCTAGATATTGGTATATTGTATCTATAGGTGTATAAATTTCATTCATCCTGCTCATTAAATGTTGGGTAGGCTGGACTGGAACTGTAGGCCCTAAGAGACCTTGTAGGAACTCTCGGAGTAGACCCCAGACAGCATTGGCCATTACACATGGACGATATTCTACCTGGAATATTAAAAAAAAAAATTGAGGTTAAAGGTTGCTTTTGAACATAATCAGTGTTACTCAAAGTTCACTTGTGTTGAAGGAGAAACAATATTTTGGCATTGAAATTTTTGGAATTGTTTTGTGAGTTTATCATACTACTAGCGGTCGCCCGCGACTCCGTCCGTGCGGAATTAAAAACAATCACAATGAGAAGCTTATGGTTTTTTTCTAGACTATATTCTATTTGCTTTTTTAATATTAGTAAGATGTGCATGTGGAACATTGTCCAGCAGTGTCTAGCTATGTGGTTTGTTATCACAATACCAAGATCACCCCCAGAGATACCCAGTAACATAAACGGGTTGCAGGGTTCTTATGGTGAAATGGGTTGCCTAAAGTGTCCCTTCACCTGCCCTCACACAATCAATGTATTAGATGTGTTGCGTAATCTGTAGTCCCTACTTCTATTACTACTACTTATTGTGTGTTAAAAAAGCGTATTGTTAGCTCAGTTATTTGATAGACAAACACAGAAGATAGGCGTGAAGTGGAAGCAATTCTGCGTTTCGTCTGATGAGTGTGCGTCCCGGAGGCCTAATTTAGTCCTCTTTCCCTTCCTACCTTTTTCTTATAAAGAAAGGATGGGAAGTAGAAGTGGACTTTCCGGATAAGAGGATGCATGGAAAGGGATTTTTTTTCCGTGCATCCTCTCCTCCGTTGATTAAAGATAGGCAACGCATATGCAATTGCGTATGTCTATGGGCAACGGTCACTTCGCTATATCAGCGATTTCAGGTGGCTGCTCGCTCGTTTGCCACCTTATGAAATAAAAAAAAAAAAGACAGAGGGATGACATTTTTGTCCGAGTGTTTTTGTTGTAAATCTATGGTAATACACACAATAAATGTTATATTTACCTCAACCAATATACCCTTAAAGTTCTGATTCATTGTTACAGAGCCGAGTTTAACACAGAAATCTCCCAGTTCAAATCTTGGCCCTTTGCTTTCTATTTTGGTCTGCTTCTTTGATGTGTAGTGCTGAGATAATTTCATCATTAGTAAATCAAATAATCCATCGGCTATCACATGAATGTTTTTTGTACCACTTTCTAATATTGAAAAAACTGATGCAGGTTGTTCCGAGTTGTGGAGTATGTGAACTGTTTTGGTTGTTCCTGAAAATTATGAAATGTTATTTATTATTTTATGTAAATAAAAGAGATATAATTTCCTAATTGAAAATATACATTGAAATTTTTAGTCACCTCACTATTCACAATTGCTGAATTTGCTTATACTACAAGCCTGACAGGATTGTATATTAACACACAAGCTTAAACATGAGACTGAGAGATCTATGCCAAATTTCATCGCTATTTATTTAGCTGTTCTGGAGATACCTTCAAACAAACATCCATCCATCCATCTAATCATTCACATTTATAAAATTAGTAAGATATAAAAATATAACCCTCATGTAGTTCGATAAAATATTAACTAAAAAGTAATATTTACCCATTTGTGGATGAGACAAGTAGCTCTCACAATCAACTAAAAACTGTCCTTGCTGCGACGCACCTAATGCTAGTATACGTTTCGTAAGTAACTCGATAACATATGTGCCGGTTTTGTTTTCTGGGACTGGATATTGCTGCAAACTAAAGTTTAACTTATTTTCAAGTTTCACATCAAATTGTTGATCAAACAAACACGGAACTTACACTGTAACTCCCATTTTTGACTTCGCATATGATCGTGGCTTTGCCTCGTTTCATAAAAGTATGTGGAAATAACTTCAAATATTTATTACATTAATAATATAACAACCGCTAATATATTCCAAACATCAACAACCATCGACAAATGACATTTGACGCGACACGCCGAGCTTTCGAGCATCTGACAATGAAGTGTTGCCGCTTACTGAAATAAATTTGTACTCATCGTATAGGGAACGAATTATTACTAAAATGATTCAGCTGATTTTATTAGAAGTTAATGGATAGTTTTTTTTATATATTATTTCCTCCATAAATTCCAATTAAAATAAACTTTTTATTACATATAAAACAACTTCTTATTGGTTTCCCTTAATTTATCCAATGAAATTGTTTTTAATATCATGACAATTTATTTTTACCAATAAAACCGAGTAAAACTTATGACAGAATCAAATTTAATAACATCTCAGTCCTAGCTGGACCAATGAATAGCCGACAAATAATTTATGAGGCAAATTGACAAGTACGGGTACTCTTTACCTCATATTATTTTACGAAGTATTTATTTACGTATTTTAATCCAATTCGGTTTGATGATTGAACACATAGTATTAAAATTGGCAAAATAAACTGTTCAGTATTACGTCAGACTTAGTTTTACATTGTATTCGCGAGAAAATTGATTGAAAGTGCTTGTAATACGCCGAAATAAAATAATTCGTCAGTGTTTTTAGTATAGTATTATCTAACATTAAAATCGCCTAAAATGTTATCGGATAACGTGACACTGATTGTGAAGGCTCCAAACCAACAAATAGAGGACCAGAATATAGAATGCCAAACATCATGGACTGTGAAACAATTAAAAGGACATTTATCGGAAGTTTATCCCAGTAAACCAGTAAGTTTTTTTTTACAATTAATTTTACATTATTTATATTGTTACTATAGTGTTTTTACGTCGTGACTTCCTTGTTCTTTAACTACACACTAACAATAATTATGATACTTTGTTTTTTTCGCAACCGGTTATGGATATCATCTTCATTGAATATGAATCTTATAAAAAGCGTAAATCGTCTTATATTATCTTGTTGATCTAGGGTTGATATAAAAAGATAAAAACAGACAAAATCATATTCAGTAACTTATTAGTGTCCAAAATTTGAATAATTTAGCTATAGATTCACTTGTTATTTAGGATCTTAATTGTGTTTGGGAAATTATTTTAAAGACTTCCTACCACATACAAAATTAATGGCTATCTAAACAGTTCCTTAGTGTTGATATCTAAACCAAAAACTTCACCCTAAATACTTAACAACTCAAAGAATGCAGTTAGTTATTATAATAATTTCATCATACACTTATAAACTGAATATTGTATGTATGAACATTAAGGAACATTTATTCCAAGTGGATTTCATATAGGAGGAGTTGAGCAGGAAGGGATAATATCCTCTTTCTGTGTATCCGCTCCACTTTCAATTAAAGGTAGGCAACCCATCTATAAAAGTAGGTGTCTATGGGTAGTATGGGTAGCCTCTTTCTATTAGTGAATTCAGATAGTTGCTTGTTTGTTTGCTACCTTATATTACAAAATATGTTATCATTGAAATAATATCAGCAAATAATTATCTTGCAGATATAAACAGTGATTTAGGCAATGATACAATAATATCTCACAATATTTAAAAATCTAAATAAAATTTCGTTATATAATTACTATGCAGAGACCTTAATATTGCAGAAAAAAATTACTTAAGCAGTTGCCTGTGTGGAATTAAAAAAAATCTAGTAATAATTATAGCTTATGTCACTCATAGATAGTGTAGCTTCAAAACACTGATAGAATTATTGTAATCAGTTCAAAAGTTTCAAAGCCTATTTATAACAAACAATCAAATCTTTCCTTTTTATATGTGAAAAAAAAAATATTTTTTATTTATTTATTTAAAAACTGCATAGCATCCTTACAGTATACAACCAATTTGACACTATACACACTTTACATGATAACATATTTTATAATAACAGTAAATAACACATAACAATGATAAATAAAAAGAAAAAAAAATACATAGATAAACAGTGCAAGAATATATCAACGCGTAACTAAAACATCAATATTCAGTAGACTATGTCTTCTTCCAATGTTCTATATGTATGCCAATTTTCATCCATTCAGTCGTTCTGGAGATACATTCTAACAAATATCCATTCATCCAAACATTTGCATATTAGTAAGAAGTAAGATTAATAAGATAGATTACAATTTACACGAGTTTATGTTAAACAACAATATTGTTGAATGGCAGGATTCAAAGTCAAGACTACATAATTTGATGTGTCCTATTAAATTAAAAACAATTAAAAAACAAAATCCACTGTAAATATCATTATTCTATGCATTACGCACACATTAATGTAGTATCAACAGTATTTACAATATAGTACAATGAAACAATACTGAATGAGTCAATGTTATTCAAACAAACTCATTTCTTATCAAAACCTGTGCATATTGTTAAAAAAATATAGTTAAATGGCATACCATTTAACTATATTTTTATGACCTTGTTAAGTCTATAAATATAACAAATTGATATCAAATAATTTTTCTAGAACTATGTTAGTACCTTTTTAAAATAAAAAGTTGTATACTGTTTTTCATATTTTTTTATGTATGTGAGTTTGTATGTAGAGCGTCGGTGGCTCAGGGGTCAAGCACCTGACCTGCAATCTGCAGGTCCTGGGTTTGAATCCCGCCACGTACCAATGTGTTTTTTGATTTCCAATTTACATATGTACATTTATCCGACGTTCTTACGGTGAAGGAAAACATCGTGTTGCAATCTTTACATATCTCAGAAATTCAAAGATATATGGGTGAAGTCAACCAACCCGCACTTGGTCAGCGTAGTTGACTTTGGCCTAATCACCCTTAACTTAGGGTAGGCTCCGAGCCCCTCAGTGGGGATGTATAGTGAGCTGATGATGATGTGTTTGTATGTATGTCAATTCAATTATCATCTTCTGTAAATTATGATTGAATCATTTTGACAAGTGAGGTTTGTATTCCTTTCTCTGAGTGACATACAGTTAGTTATGTTTTTGGTTTTTTTTAAATTACGTAGCGTCTTTTAAACTTTGTTTAATTCGAATTATTGTTGACTTTTTCATGTGTAAAGGAATGTGATTGTTAAATATACAAAATTCATAGACAAAACATGGTATCAGAATTTTATAAACAGTCTATAACATCCCTTTTCAAACATTCCAATTGGAACAAAGTTTACTATTGTTATTATATTTGTTGGAAATGGTAACAGTTTTTTACAGTAACATTTTTTTTTATATCATAGGGTGGCAAACTTGCGAACGGCCACCTGAAATCGCTGAAATATCAAAGTGACAGTTGCTCATAGACGTATGCAACTGCATATGCGTTGCCTACCTTTAATCAACTGAGGAGGGGATGCACAGAAAGAAAATAATTTCCCTTCCCATGCATCCTCTCATCTGGAAAGTCCACTTCCACTTGCCATCCTATCCTTATAAGGAAAAGGGTGGGAAGGGAAAGAGGACTAAATTAGGCCTCCGGGACGCACACTCATCACGCCTGTCTTCTGTGTGGTCGAGGTATTTCACCGAGCGAGCCGGGCCAATTCGTGCGAAAATGTTAAAGCGGGCTCTACCACTGTTAAAACATATTTTTAAATTAATATTACAAAAAAATTAAGAAAAAACCTGTTGTCTACTTCTAAATAGAATCGAATTTTTATCTATTTTATGATAAAATTGTTTTTTTATTGAATGGGTTTGGTTTTTAAAAAGCATTTCATTCATGTTCATGACATCTTCATACACAGTTTCTAGATACATGTGTAAATTGTGAGAACAATAAAATGATAATGAACAATAAAATATGGGTGACCAATTTGTTGATATTGTTTTGTCTGTTTGATTATATTATTTGTTGTAAGAGAACAAGATGACATTATGTTCTATGTATCAAAAATAAGTATATAAGTTGTAAATATGCAAACACTAGCGGTCGCCCGCAAATCCGTTTGCACGGAATTTAAAAATAAACATAATTAGTTGCCTATGTGTACTTCTATGCTATGTTCTACATTTGTGCCCAATTTCAGCGACATCTATGCAGCCGTTCCGGAGATACCTTCTAACAAACATCCATCAAACCAAACATTCGCATTTATAATATTAGTAAGATTTATAAATAGAATATTATTTTTTTCCACAGAAAACAGACGAGCAGAAAATAATTTATTCCGGTCAATTATTAGATGACAACACTATACTAAAAGACGTTTTACGATCTTACGACAGTGGTATTGTGCATACTATGCATTTGGTCTGTAAGCCATCGCGCAACATGACCAAGGAGAAGACCGAAAAGACCACAGAGACCGCGCCAACAGCGCCACCTACCGAAGGACGGCAGACAGAGACCACATCGAGACCGGAGACGAGACAGAATGATCAGAATCACAATGTAGAAATGCAGAATTACAGGAATTCATTTGTTAACAATTATGGAAGGGTGCCGCCTTATCCTAATTATAATTTCGGTGAAGGATATTTACAAGGACCAAATGATGCTGCAATGTTTGCAAATCACATGATGATGGTGCAACAGGCGTATTTGCAGTATATGCAGCAATATGCCAACATGTAAGTATATTTACTATGATAAACTGTTATTTCATTGTACTTAAAAGTCCTCCACACTAAATATTTGTTACTTCAATATTGGAAACATATCTCCATTTCCCATCTCGATGTATTTCTTTTTAAAGAGAGTCGGAGGCTCGTGACTTGTAATCTGCAGGTCCTGGCTTCGAAACCTGCCACGTACGATTGTGGTTTTCGATTTACATATGCACATTTATCCGACGTTCTTACGTCGTGATGCAAGCTGTACATATCTGCGAAGAAATTCAAAGATATGTGTGAAGTCAATTAACCCGCACTGGGCCAGTACGGTTGACTATGGCCTAGTCACCCCTAATTTAGGGTAGGCTCCGAGCCCCACCATTGAGGTGTATAGTGGACTGATGATGATTTCCTTTTTATGTTAATATAAGTGATATATTTTGACAAACTTGTATTGGTCTGTCAGGCACCGAGTTGCAACAGAACAAGGCGAGGTTCCTGGGGCGGGTGTTGCGGGGCCTGTGGGGGGTGTTGCGGGCGGGGCGGAGGCGCGGCCGGCGCAG